ATATATATTCCAAATTCATATGTACAACCTCTCATTCTATATACTTTTGTTATGAATGTATGTATATATGCATTATGTATGTTTTCAGGGCTGATAAAACGATACTGGACAACCAATCGATGAGTTCTTCCATGGAGGCAACCATTGCTCTCAGTCTCAGAATTTCTTATTTTATGCTTGTACTTTGTGCAAAGTTGAGGCTTCCTTGGCTTCACCATCCACTTTAGCATGCCAGCTGCTTTGTCCTTCTCCAGCTCATGTTTGGGCAGTCACATTGGTAAGTTTTTTGAGTATAACTACTGACTCTCTTACAAGACACAATTTTAAAGCGAGTTCCCTCTTCTGATTCCTACAACCTTTACACCCCCTTTTCCATATCAATTGCACACCTTATGTAGAATAGTTATACTGCAGCTATATCTGCTGGAAATCAGTAAAACAACCATGATTTTTATTGAATAGTTATACTGCAGCTATATCTGCTGGGAATCAGTAAAACAACCATGCTTTTTATTGATTGTCACTTTTATTAGTGGTCACAGCATGTTGCCAAGCAATTTTGCTTGAAGAGCATAAAAACTGCACTCATCTGTAGGATTAAGGACATATATTTAGAATACAGTTAGGGATTAGGCTGATTTTAGTACAGTTGTGGTTATAGGTTCTTTTCCAAAGTATATGGCTGCAGAAGCACTGCATATTTAACTAGGTTTCCTGGACCACACATGATTTCCTTCTTTTTGACCAGGTCTTGTGTACAATTAGAGAGCTTTTGGATGCCTCCCAGTTTTATCACTTATCAACCTTTAAGGCTCTCCTGGCATGCTGATGACTGTTGTGGTGTCAAAGCTGGGTAGGACGTTGGTTTCTTCCCTCCTTTTCTATCTTGTAGAGAACATTCTGCTATGATCCAGTGGGGATACATAGTGTGTGAATCTAGGCAGGCAGGAATAAATATATGCAGCCTAAATAGACTCATCAAATTGTTCCATGAGTTTGTGCTTTTGGTTTCATCACCAAGAATTGCTGTTCTATTCACATTTGCAAAACTCAAAATTTTGTCTGATGGAAGATTGCATGTAGAGGAGACCAATTGAACTTATTCTTCCAAAACCAGGGAAGACAATTCATAGGGAAATGCTCAGTTAGGATAGCCTAAGTATTCTAAACAGAACAATCTCTCTGGCACTGTAGCGCTTTTCGAGGTCTAGATTGCATTCAGAAATGAGTTTTCTGAAAAGGGCACAAAATTATCCTGCAGCTTCATGATTTATTCATTCTTTCTGATAGACTACAGTGCCTTTCTAATGTTTTCTGTATTTAAAGTGACAAAAGTGTGCTCGGAAACATCATGACTTATTCACTTCCATTTGCTCATAAAAACATGGGGAAATTCCAATTAAAATGAGATAGAAATAGGAAATTTTCTTTCTCCTTCCTGCCACTAGCCTCATGAAGATGTCCCAAGAAAATAATAGTCACGTGTATTTCTGTTACTTCAAAGTTTTGTCAAACATAATTTCTACAAGTTTGCGACTACTGTTGTTTGTGTTGTTGTTGATTTGCTGCCATGTAAATGCCTATTTAAACAAGAGGCTGGAAGAGGCCGTTGGATAACCTGAAATTGAAGTCAGTCAGTTGTGAACCTCCATGTGAGTGCTGAGACTCAAACCTGGGTGTTCTATAAGAGCAGTGTTCTTATCTTCCAAGTCATTTCTCTGGCTTTTATATTACAAATTTAGAGGTTATGGAAATTACACTACTTTTAATTTTCAACAGTTTTATTTATTGTAGGCAGAAACTGATCTTTCATTTCCGACTTCTCAGACCCTAATAATCATACAAAAACTATATTAATTATAGCATGGTTTAGACAATGGCTCAAGCATATTTCTAGCTAGCTCTTATATTTTAAATTAATCCATTTCTATCAATCTATATATCACCATGAGGTTGTGGACTACCGAGAAGGTAAGGTTCTGGTGGGCATCTTTCTCCTTTGGCAGCTATATGCTGTTTCCTTGACTCCTCCTACTTTCTTTCTATATCTCTGTTTGGATTTCTGCCTGGCTTTGCTCAGCTATGTCATTGGCCAAAACAGCTTTATTCATCAACCCATAAAACAACAGATATAGAGAAGGACATCCCACATCATTATTTTTTCATTAATTTTAAACAACCTATAGTTATCTAAGCATTACTTATCTAACAGTATATGATTTTTCATGTTCTTTTTAAAACCAGTATTTACACACACTGATGAAATACATATATATTATAACTTGTTATCTGTCTCAAAAGCTCTATTCTCTTTATGTTTGCCTCCCAATTGCTAGCTGAGCGAAGGGTCAATTGGAAAATCTGTTCTGACAGTTT